CCCCCCCCCCCCCTCCGCGCAGGCAAGCTCTTTCCCTCGCCCTCTCTCTTTCTTTCTCTCTCCGCTTCGTGTTGCTGTGAGCATTAGCGATGACTGCGCAGCCCCGGCAACAAGAGGACTTTTCTCCCCAGAGTTATGTCTCCCGCCTGATTGCATCGCTTGCCCTGTACCATGCTACAAGGTAGTCGATTTTTGGGAAAACCTTGTCGCGGAAGTACATCGCACAGGAGGGGCTGGGTTCCTCCGGGGGTCGGAGGGTATTCGACGGGTTATGGTCCGAGCCGACTCCCCTCTGTGGGTTGCTCTCGCTCGCAACATGTATTTTGCGAAGCGCGCTGAGGGATGTCGCGATATATCTCTGTAGTTACCGTTAGTTTACGCAGCAAAATCGATCAAGCAAACATATGGGATAAAGTATTCCGTGCGTTGGGGTTAGGGTTAGGGTTAGGGATAGGGCCTGCATGCTCCCTCCCTGTTCTTTTCCTAGATAATCTTAAAATCTCTTATAATCCCGCGTAGGCGGTCCGTAGTTACACGCCAGCATGCGAAAATTTGAAGCTTTCGTTGCGTGGTCGACTATGGCAACACACCGTGCGGTTACCGGCGTGAAAAAAACACCCCGTACCCTAACCTACCGTGTCCAACGTTTCCCATTTGTTGAAGTGTGATAGATAGACTACATGCAGGCGCCTCTGTACTAAAAGATGATGAAGTACCGGCCCATTTAAGACGTACTTCGAAGTACGTTCAACAGCAGTTTTTCCTCCCAACCGCATGCTCAGTAAGGAGGGTCACATCAGCGGCCAAAATAAATGTTGCCGGCATTGTGCCAGCTGCGATGAAACCGCCGACATACTCTACCAGTGTTGCTCTTCTCTGGAAAAGCACATCCCACGTGTCTGCCAGCTTTTTTTTGGATTTCCTTGTTTGCGACAGACCAACATAATACCCATTCGGCAGCACGCTCGAAGAGTCTCAATCCCCGAGACTGTCGGCTGTTGACCAATAATGTCGCTTATGGTCTAGTCTAGATCTCTTAGATCTGGAATCCGATCAAAATCTGCAAGTCGTCTGTTGTTTTGTGCGTTTGTGGATAGAGCGCTGTACCCTTTCGAGGATCATAGGAAACCACCTTCGTCTTGCTCTCGATCACCCTTTCTCCCGAGAAATCGCAAACAAAGGGGTCCAATTACGGATCAACAGGTTGCGAGGGGGTCAACGCATGACAGCTGCCTGTACATGTGGGTGCATATACAGCACAAACAAACGTAGTTCCGCCGCATTTTGGTAGAGAGAGCGAGAGAGCCAAACTCGGGGGCAAAACAAGACACACAAGACAGCTACCAAACTGATTTGTTGAGCCTGTTACCCGCAGGGGAGATGTCCCTATATGCTGTCTGGGAAATCGTAGACATACAGGTAGTTTTCTCTGACGCTATGATTCCATTGTTAATCTGTCTCTGACTCTTTTCTATGATAGAGATGGACTCGTTGTGTCATATTAAGAAAAGAAAAATAAAGCGCCGAACTCTCAACGGTACCCGGCCGCACGTCGGTTTTGGCTTGGGGTCAATTTTGGTACTGCAAGCCTATCACAGGCTCCCAATTAGAACCACTTTTGGTAACGCAAGCCAATCACACCCCACCATTTTTGGTAACGCAAACCCAAACCATCCCAACCCACACCATCCCTCACTTGTGTGCCGCTGGCGCCTTCCGGTATATGCCGGGGAGGGGTTGAGATTGATAAAGTTGCCAAACCACCTAAGCTTTGAAAATTCAGTTGTGGGTTGCTGTTGGTGTGTAGATGCGATATTCGGTCTCAGATTTTTAATCCGCGGTCGGGAAGGTGGGTTTTCAGCGAAACTTGGTGATTTGTCTTACTCAATATATAGGGAAACGCAAATCAGGGGAAACGAACTTTCTGTCCCCCCCCGGGGACAAAACGGGGATTTGCCCATATCCTGCCCATGTTAAGCGCTTTTTTGACCGCTGTTCCGGTAGAACAAACCCTACAATTTTTGCAAACTTAACTGGCCACTTTCGACCAGGGGACACGAACTTTATGTCCCCCCCCCCGGGACAAAACGGGGATTTCCCCTTATCTTGCCCATGTTTTGCGCTTGTTAGACCACTGTTCCGGTAGAACAAACCCTACAGTTTTTGCGCACTTAACTGGCGACTTCCCACCAGGGGACACGAAACTTGTGTCCCCCCCGGGGACAAAACGGGGATTTCCCCATATCATGCCCATTTTGTGCGCTGCTCAGACCGCTGTTCCGGTAGAACAAACCCTACAGTTTTTGCACACTTTACTGGCCACTTCCCACCAAGGTACACGAAATTTGTGTCCCCCCCGGGGACAAAACGGGGTACCAAGAGTAAAGGGTAGCGCATAATACTTGCAAACGTTGCGTTCGACACCATACCAAAAAAAGCAAGAAGAACAACAAACGTCGACGAGTTCCATTCTTGTGGTTGGCAGCCAACACATCCATCCATCCCTGGCCCACCTCCGGGAACCTCTTCTTCGCGATACGTACGCGACCTCTTGAGCGTACGTATTGCGCTTCCTCCCGCTCCCCCTCCTCCACCTCCCCCTCCTCCCCCCCCCTCCTCGTCCTCCTCCTCTCCCTCATCTCCCTTCTCCCCACCCCACCCCACCTCCCCCATGCTCTGGTCAAGCGTAGGCGCCACTGGGGACTCGTCCGAAGATATGACCGGAAGAATAACGCCGGTCAATTGAGTCCCAAGCGTGCGTCTCCCAACCATTTCTTTTCCCGACTTCTCCATCACCTCGCCAACCAAGTCGGGGTACACCTTCGCTACCATGCAGTCATCCTAGCAGCCTATTCGGCAAGTCGAGCAGTAGCACGATGCGCCCCGAACCCGCAACTTCCAAGATCTGGTGAACTTCTTGGGGGCAGCCCATTTCCTCGCCCTGAACTCGTCTACCGCCCACTTCCTAGTCGTCAACAACTTGTCTCCGGCCGCTCCCACCACAAAATCGTCTGTCTGCACCCCCACACTAGTAGCCCACACAAGATTACAGGTATCCTGCACCTCCCCCTGCTCCTCCTCTGTTCCCGGGATTCGTCACGTCACTCCGTGTCTTGCGCTCGTTGTACACGTAGCATCCCTCACTCGCAGCGATCTTGGGGGCGATGTCGTGGTTCGTGTTGTGCATCCGCCGCCGTGCGTCGCTGAAAGTCTCGTGCCGAATGCCGAGACTGTTGGCTCGCTCGGCAAGGCTCACTCCGCCAGACTCAACGGGCTTGCACCGCTGGCCGGGGTGGCACACGTTCGTGTCAGTACACGTGTGCTCTCCCGCTCCGGCTGCTACAGCGAGCGCTGTCTGGTAAGTGGTCCACCCCATCGAGCTGTTGCAGTCTGCTTCAGCGCTTGCAACGACGCACGGAGTGCACGAGTGTTGGCCGCGTCGATCGCAGCCACGTTAGCTGCTGCCTGCTCTTCCGCGCCAGCATCCAGCATGGCCCGTACTCGCTCCATCAACACGGGGTCGTTCTGCATCAAATCCATCGCGCTAGAGCGACGCTCCTCCGCAACCTGCGTACAACGTATCAGTAGTTATTGGAGGAGTCGGGGGAACATATGAGTGGGTGACATATTAACACCACGGTAGCAGCGTCATTGTAGCAGTTACAGCAGTCAGCAAACCCGCGCAATTTGTAATGCGCTCTCTGTGCTTAAGATCGATGTGGTGGAATGGACCTCAATTCCTGGAGGCAAAGAGGACGGGCAGCGCGTGTACGATACATAATTTCAACTTCAAAAAAAGAGCGGCACGAACTGGCGCGCAAAGTAAAGCAGTCAATCAAGCAGTTTATCACCTTTCAGCAGCACCTCAGAAGCGACTCAAAACTCACCGCTTCCTCCCGCGAAGTCTCTGGGGTAGCACCGCTTCTAGTCCCGCCATCATGAGCCAATGCTAGAGGGTCGGAGAGAGCTGCGTCCGCCCCCTTGCGCTTCGCCTTCTTCGCCGCAGCAGATGAAGCAGCAGCAGCAGCAGCAGCAGGCTGTCGTTTCCCGCGTTTCGATGCTCCCTCTCGGATGCCTTCAACATGCTCTCTATCCTTTTCGAGGAGCTCAACTTCATCAGCAACCACAGATTGCACGGGTTTTCCAGCTGCCTCGGTGGTACCCTTTCTCAACAGCTGGCTGATTAGCAGTATCCCGCGGCTGTGCTTCTTCCGCTGCTGTCTCACTACCCTCTCGTCCCCTCGGATTTCGATTGTGCGGTCTACCTGCATGAGGCTGCCACGAGCCACGGCCAGGCCCAAGTCGGGACGGCCGTCCTAGAACGAGATTAGGTCTGATGACCTCGAGAGTGGTGTCCTCTGTATGTAATTCGACCAAGCGGAGTCGATTGCCGTAGAGAACGAGGCTTGAGTCGGCGATGCTTGGGGTGAAACAGGATGCGCCGCATCGTTTATCTTGAAAAATGTGAGGAGATTTTTGTTTGTTTTTTCGGTTTGTTTTTCGTTCGGTTGGTCTCGCCGAAACGTTTCTAGAACCGGTCTCTGTTTTTCGTACCGATAAACACTCGTTCTAGGACGCCATTCTCCGGCATTTACCGGAAGGCGCCCTCTACCGATTGATCGATCCTGACGGAGTGACGATGTACGACGCCGTTGGCAAGCACAACGATTGCCTTCCCCACCGCAGTAGTGATCATGGACGAGCTTCCCGACTACAGCACGCAGTACAGCAGCAGAGAGAGGCACGGACGAGGTCAAGTGATGAGATTGATTGAATGCACTGATGTCAAGAGGCAGCTATTAGCTATATTGGGGGTACTCGTAGCATAGTATGACGGTTGAGATGTTATGTACGTACGTACGAAAGTTTCAGTGATGAGATGCGGAAGAATAGGAAACTTCTACACATAGTCTATTCCTTGGTTGTTGTTGTTGTTGTTGACTTCACATTAAACCGTATGCCAGTTGCTAAATGCCAAAATCTAGCAAAGACTCTCGGCCCGTGGTCACGAAAGTGCTGGAGCCATCTGAGGATCTAAAGAACACGCACACGTAGCAAGAAAAAGGTGTACAAGAGCCCGAAGAGGTACTACTACACCTATATATAATCCCTGCAGCACCGTACGCGTGCCCAAAACTGAACTACACGTCCGTCTCACCGTTCGACTACAGCAACATCACCCCCTACTTGTCCCACTCTGTACCAAAACGAATGATTGCCGACTACAGCATACTTGCTGTCTGAAGTGCTGTCTGTACAAAAACACCATGGTAGGCATGGAACAAGAAGCTGGCGGGGCACAAAGCTGCTGTCTGAAGTGCTGTCAGAATGTGTCTGCGGACGTACAGTGAAAAAGAACAACCAACCAAAGCCATGATTGCAATGGACAATCACCCGAACCTCTCCCGATCGTCTGTGTTAGGCACGCAGTGAAAATATCGACAATAGCTAAGAATCGTTCCACATTGAAGGGGTCTTCCACGATCAGGCACATAACCAAGGCACCCGGGTTAGCCACGCCATCTCTGACGGGTCTCTCTACAAAACCAGTGACGACGTCATCACATAGAACCAACACCGAAAATCAGGAAAAAACGAGAAAAATTGACAACACATCGGGTACGACCGCCTCGGGGTAAGCTTGAAAGCTTATATGGACGACATCAGCCTGCACTTCAAAAATATCACAGCGGAAAATATCCAGGTGATACCGGACCTCGTCGACGAACTAGAAGCAGTGGGCATCATCGTCAACAGGGGGAAAAGCTCAGCGCTTCCCCCACCAGGGCACGACGTGACGCCAGCAGAAAGGAGGCTACTTGGCGATGCAGGCCTACCGATTGCGGAGGAGGGCATCACAGTTGTGGGAGTCCCCATTGGGACGGATGCCTACGTCGAGGATATCGCAATGAAAGTGATAACTGAAGGGGGTGCAGACAAGCTTGCTCGCATGCTGGTGCGCATGCCAGACAAACAGGTGGCTCACCTCGTCACATCACAATCGCTGACACAGCGATCCGGATATATCGAGAGAGGCATCAATCATAAGCTAGTGAAAGGGGCTTGTAAACGCCTGGACAATATGGTGATGTGGGTCCTAGAGGCAACGATGGGGCTCAGAGATACCGAAGTCGAAGAAAAGTTCTTCCAAGACGACTGCCAGCCTGACCGCTTCAAGTTAAAGCCCTTTCAACAAGCCCAGGCGCGCCTGTCGACAGGAGCCGGAGGACTAGGATTACCAGCAGCCGTTATGCGAAGGTTCTCAGCTTCTCTGGG